GCAATGTCAGGATTACTTTATCCCAAAATAGTAACCCGCCAACTTTACCGGGTCCTACTGGTCAAGTCAACTGCTCGCTCATTTAATGCAGTTGTCCTCCTTCTCCTCCAACGGGAAGACAACCCCAGTATAAAAGATACATTTCGAAGAACAACCAAATAGATTGAACTTTGCTAACTTCTGCTACAACTCTGCAAACAAGATATTCAAACGCCAAAAAACGCAAAAAGCCTCCTTGAGATTAAAACTTCATCATCCTCTACAAGAGAAGGCAGAAGTTGGAAAAATCCTTATTTCCAACTCAAGCAAAGTTCCAAGTGTTCTTCAACTCTTCAAGCTCATCACATACAAATCCTTTGTAACGAAGCAAGTTGGAGGAACCCCTGTTCTAAATAGAACCTCTTCTTTTACAGGAAGGACGTCCAAGTACCTGGAGCTGTGAAGTGGTGATACTTCTGGGAAAGCTCAGTGAAAGGACCAGTCTTAGGGAAGCCGGAAGTGCATCCAAGAAGACATCTACACTTGAAGAAGACGTGGAGAGCTTCTTAAGTGATAGGGCTAAGGCATTGTAAACGGAAGTTTTTACAGCTTAGTGGAACAGTGGACTAGAGGAACAAGTTGTTCCTTGAACCACTATAAAATGCCCTGGTGTCATTTACTTACTGCTTTACATTCATAGTTTCATTTGAACTGTTTAACTCCAAAGACTTGGTATCTGTGTTCAGCAGAACTGGTCTTGTGAGTTAACAGAAGGCCTACTGCCTTTGCTTCTCTGAGGCTACTAACAGAACTCCCTACCAGAACCCCATCCGCTGCCAGTCTGTTCTGTCAACAGAACAGGCTATTCTGTTAAATCTGGTACTTTGCTTGAAAAAGTTAAAAACCAATACAGTCTATTCACCCCCCCTCTAGACTGTATCCAGTACAATCGGGACCAACAGAAGGTGCTGATGATCGCACCCTCCTAGTTATTTCCGTGGCTCTATGACCTTAACTTCCCACAAACATTTGTATTTTTAATTCACTTCACATTTTGCGAAAACTATATATCTAATGTGTATGGTATTTACTACCGTTTTGGAAGTACGGAGTATTTTATAAAATTGAGTACTTTTTATCTATTGAAGATAAATTAAACTTTCCAAAATAAGATCTTTTAATAGAATATAAGTATCATAAGTGTTAACTCAATGGATTGTTTTATGAACTTTTCCTTTAACACTTTAACAACACAGTGCCATAGAAGCAAACTATCTCGTACATGCATCTGTATCTTGTAATGTTTTGCATCCTCAAGGATGAAGTGTCATCCTTTTTTACGTTTCACATCTATGTTTAATGTAACTTCTTTAATTATCATTCGCTCATTTGGTATTAACTACGTAATGTTCATTTTATAAAATATATTTCCTCCATTCTGATTCAAGCTTTTCTGCCTTTCCCTTGTCATCTTCTTTTGGATGTCCGAATAAAAGTTTCCCTTTTCTATTTTAGGAAATAATTAGCACTCTTAAATGACATATTAATCATCATATATTAAAAAAATACACCTAATACAACCTGGTTATCATCAATTACCACATTATGTTATATACCAATCAAAACTATTTCTCAAAATATAATCGAATGACCTTACTTAATTATTTTTTAAATAACTGTGTAATTATTCAATGAATCTTAAGCTTGGAGATGTGTTGTACAGTTTTTTTGGTTCTGTTTTCCGCTCAACATAACATTTTTTTTTATTATTATACAAATGCTCATTTTGTATACTCCCTCCACCCCCCAATGATGTTCTTTGATTGACTTCACATGTTTTATATTTATATATTGATGTATAAATATATTGTTTGATGTATCCCTGTTCTTTAAATGTTCTTTTATATATTGTTTGTATACTGCCTCCACCCCCAATTTATATGCATGTTTTTTAGCCCTACGATTAGACATAGAGACAACCACCCCTAAAGGAGCAATACGAATCGCTAACCACCAGATGGGCTTACTGCAGCTATTGCTGAAAAAATAGATCCGTCCCCCACCAACAATATCAAATCTAGCCGAACCCTCGACCAATGTAAAAAACCTATTACCATAAGCAAATACAAATAACAAAACGATAGCAACGAGATTCTTCGAAAACAGACTAAAAATGGGGACAATGAATTTAAACATGATGAACTTATTGAGCCGCTGAACCCAATCTTCCAGCGCGGTGTTCCAACCCCTAATCACCCATTTCCAGCATGGCGGCGGTTCAGGAGGGGGCGCATCTTCATCCCTTCATCTTCTTCCTTCAACACCCTATGCATACATACATACATACATACATACATACATACATACATACATACATACATACATACATACATACATACATACATACATACATACATACATACATACATACATACATACATACATACATACATACATACATACATACATACATACATACATACATACATACATACATACATACATACATACATACATACATACATACATACATACATACATACATACATACATACATATATATATAGGAGAGAGTTCAAATACAAAGAGGTCTTCCAATGCAAAGTGAGAATTAATCTCGTGCATTCATTTTAAGATCTAATGGCTCAAATTGAGCCAAAAATGCACTAAACTTGATCAAAACACGGTGGCAATTTGGTAAATAAACTGAAGCTTTCTACCACCGTGAAAAGGTGCAACATAAACATGAAATAGTGCAACGCGGTGAGAAAAAAGTGCAAATGTTCGCATTTTGCACGAGAGCACCTCTTTTTATTTGAACTCTTCCCTATCCAGTGAGAACGATGCTTAACGTGAGAACGTGAGAACGCATCAAAGTGGTTGATCTTTGGGAAATAACGGTCATAACTTGTAGAGTGCACTCCTATATTGTGTGGATAACCACATACTAACACATTCATAACTAATAAGTGGCTTTTGAACGTAATAAGAAAGAGCAATTACATAATGTTAATTTTTTTGCCTTCAATGATTTCATTTAAACGACACATGTTTTCCTTATGTTTATCCCTACAATGATCACACCCTATTTGGCATTTATTATCTTGCAACTATATTAGTTTCATGTATGGAACGAATTCAAACTACGTATAAATAAAGTGTTTGATAAATTTAGGTGCTCAATACATTTAAAATACACATTACTTTTATATTGTTCTAATTAATTCAATTGTTTTTAGTGCTGAAATAATTCACTTTGTTAATGGTGTATGTTATAAGTATACTTGTGCAACGTGTTGCAGTATTAGTGTAAAGTGTTGTAATTCAACACTGGCTAAATAAGTTTTAGTTTATGTGCACAATTAACTATTACTAGTGATTTTTTTTAACAAATAGTATAGTAGCAAAGTGGAATGTGTAATATGTAATGGATAAAGAGCATCACATGATGTCTAGAATTGAGATAAATTATTACATTTGAAGTGCATTTTTTTAATATGCACGTATAAGAATGTTATTAAAATTTACAACATGAACTTTTTTAATTTTTTTAAAGTTCATTGCAAGATATTTAAAGTTCTTGAACACACAAGTACCATTATCCATTGCATAACTATCGGTATTTATTACACAAACCAACATCATACATAAATTTCATACTCCGTATAACATGCACAAGAATTCGTATGAACTGAACAAGAAAATGAATCTTAATTTAATGTATTGATTAATTAATAACTATAATTTGTGTATAAAAATGAAGTTCAATGTAATGCACATGACCTAATATATAGTGCACAAAGTTAAAAAGATGTTTAGAAATACGAATATTAGAATAGTGAATAATATCAATTAAGTGAAATGAAAAAATGGTAATGCATTACTTTCTTCCTAAAATAAGTTTCTTCCAAAGAAACTTACGTACTTTCTTCCTATGTTAGTTGACTAGTTTCTCACAATAATTATCGACCAAATAATTACCAAATCAAGTTATCCGTGCATGATTAGTATAATGCCCAAATAATAAATGATTAAACGTTTTGTGGATGTAGAGAAAACAATGGCTAGGATGTGTTCTCATTTCTTACGTTAAGCAATGTTCTTATTTGAACCACTATATATATATATATATATATATATATATATATATATATATATATATATATATATATATATATATATATATATATATATATATATATATAGGGAAGAGATCAAATAAAAAGAGGTTATCCCGTGCAAAGTGCGAACAATTGCTCTTTTTCTTCACCGCGTTGCACTTTTGCGTGTTTCTCTTGCACTTTTTCATGATGGAAAAAATTTCGTTTTAATTACGAAATTGCCACCGCGTTTTTGATCAAATTTACTTCACTTTTGGCTCATTTTGAGCCATTAGATCTCAACATGAACGCACAAGATTAGTTCTCACTTTGCATGGGAAGACCTCTTTGTATTTGAACCTTCCCATATATATATACATACATATATATATTACTCCAGGGGGTCTGGGGGAGGGGGCCTGGGGGGGCCCTGGAGTAATCAGGGCTGAAACTCACTCCATTGAGTTTCAAACCCTTATGTGCCTAGCGGATTTCGAACTAGAGACCTCCCACTAGACACAGTAACCTCACAACCATCCCCCATATGTGTGTGTGTGTGTGTATAGACACACACATAGATAGATAGATAGAGAGAGAGAGAGAGTTTGACCGGGAAGAGATTGAAACACCGCCATCCGGACTGCGGTTCCTGTCCAGAACCCCCGTGCGGACAACACCATCAAAGGGTAGTCTTCCCGGTGGAAATTTTTGATGGAATGTTTTGAGAATGTTCCTCATCAAGTCTAGTTTATGCATACTAAATTTCAGCTAAAAATTCAATCGGGAATACAGTTAAACAATTTCTTAAAACATATTGCGCTTTATATATGTACAAAATGTGCTGTAAGTGAAGACCCGCCACTTGGAGTGGCGGCTTTTGTACTGTAAGAGAAGAGCCGCCACTTGACCTCACTTCAAGTGGCGGCTTTTCTTAACCAGGTTAACCCAGCAATATTTTGGGAGTTATTTTTAAACCAACAGTATTTTGGGAATTACAACGTAACGTATTTATTTAATTAACATTATTCAGGGAAAAAACTCAAGAAAATGAAGAAGAATCCAATTTTATAATAATGTTGATATCATAAACAACAACGAAAAGTGAAGATAAAATCAATTAATTAATCAGATTCCCACTCCGCATCCAATTTCCAGTGAATATTATCATAACTAAGATATGCCCCAACGCTGGTAAACTTCCAATGGATCAGTTGATTCTGTTTGTCTCTCTTTAGATCATATGCATCGATCATCAGTTTGCCTTCGTGACTGTCATAGCAGCCGCAACCATAGGCATCAGGGTCGTTTTTCTCCTTGGCTTCAAATGAAAATCTCTTGCCTGGCAGTATGGTTTGTTCTAAAGCCTTACATAACAAGGTCACATTATTTTGGTCGTATAGATTGACCAAATTGATGACCGGGAACTTCGCTGCGGATGATAAATCCACAGCGGAGATCGCCAGTGACAATGTCGCCAAGACGACCCATATTTTGTGCTTATCCATGACCATATTTTTCACTCTGTTTTGCTTAGTAGTAAATGTTTGTTAAATTTGGGAGGCATCTCAGTTCTTATAGTGTGAGATGTGAGTGAGAAGCAGAGCCTACAGGCAACTTTTTGGATGTTGTAACATTGACCTACCTACAAACATTAATGATGGTCAAACATTATTTCGAAATTGGTTGGGGAAATGGTGATAATGATAGTCATTCCTCATCCAGAAGATCCGCAAATTTGAAAGTGCACTCATGAAAATTGAGTGAGTCTTTCCATTCAACGTTCGAAATTTGAAAAGTAGTCATCGAATTAAAATAAAAGTTAAGACCAATTTCTTATATAGGGGAAGTTTTACATCTTTAATAGATCAAATAAGACAGATTTTGGGAGTAAAATACATGTGGTCCTATTTGTGCCTTTTGTCAAAGTTTTAGTCTTATTTTGAGCAATTTGTAAGAAGTTAAAGCATTAAATTGTTTTGTTAGTCTTATTTTCATGAGTTCTTGATTATTATTTTTAATTAAGATTAATTCCTATGGAAAAATCACTACTCCCTATTAGATTAGTTATTATTTTCAAATATTTAAATCAATAAAAAGTTAAAATCATATAAAAAAGATTAATCACAACATATCATAAAAATTGAAAAAACAGAACTAAAAAGATTAATCACAACATACATGTGGTCTGCTATGTTTTATGGAACAAAAATATAACTAAAAAGATCTAACCTGACAAAACTACCCTTAATGAAATAAAACAAAAAAATCGGTGGTACCAACACTCCAAGTCCAAAAAACTACTACTTTGCCATCCATCAGCATGTACGTCCACCTCCGCTGCAGCACTTCGACGAGGCCATTGCAGAATCCCAAGTTTCGAATGTCTTGCAGACCTCCAATGAGAATGTCAAGAATAATGACATGATGGTGAAAGTTTCATAAAACAACATGACATTCTAAGTTGTAAAAAAATACGTAGTATGAATTTTTTTTAGGTGAAAAATAATGGCATGTAAGGATGAAAACTCTGACATTATTTGGAAAACATATCAAAAAAACATGTCATTTCTAATAACATGACATTTTCTTATAGACATATGACATTTTCAGATTGTCATCCTGATAAATATACTACCACAAATGTGACAATTTTTTCAAAAAAAAAAACCAATAATTTTGACCTTCCCAGATTATACAAGTGACATTTTGCTGAATCAATATAATTTAAATCCAAAATTGACATTTTCTCTAAGACTAGTAGTTATGTCATTCTTAAGTTTGAAATTAATCAAAATTAACAAAATAATAAAAAATTCAAATGTTTTTATTTTCATTCGTTCAAACCTAGCTCTTTTCTGATGTTTTTAAATCCAAATTTCATCTAAAATTTGAAGTTTACAAAATAGAAGAGACAAATAAAACAAACAAAAGACAGAGGACCAGAAAGAGGGGAACAAGAAGCTGGAGAAGAAATAGGGGAAAGAAGGAGAAGGAAGTTGAGGGAAGGAGGAGGGAGTAGAAAAATTAAGAGGAGGAGGAGGAGGCGGAGAAGGGGAAATTGCAAAAGAAAAGAGGTGCGACCGTGCGACTATGGAAATTCCGGCGATAGTAGGGTAGTGGAGCTATGGAGGTTTCGGCGTGAGCAAAGGAGAGCGGCTATGGAGGGTCAATTCAATCGCAAGCTCACATCTATGGAGCTTCTGGTGCGGCCGGATGAGCTATGCGTCTCTGGAGGGTTCTCTGATCGTAATGATGTGAAGGGTAAAATGGTAATCGGTGGTCCTATTTAGGTAATTTAAAACATGTAGTGTCCTATTTTGGAATTTTGACCATGTTTTAGTCCTATTCCAATCAATTTCTTTAAAACTTAGATAACATCATCCTTGTTTTTTACTCCCTCCGTCCCTTATAACTTTGCCAACTTTCCTTTTTTGGATGTCCCATTAACTTTGTCACTTTCTCTTTTAAGTAAAGAATTTGTGGTTTCAGTTAATTCTCTCTCCTCTACACAAACCTCAACCACACAACTTTTACTTTATTAATCTCCGTGCCGGTCAAACTTGGCATAGTTATTAGGGACGGAGAGAGTATGTTGTTTTGCTTTTATTCATGCCTCTTTTTTTATTCATCTTGAGGCCTAGTGCATCCAAGCTAAGGACGGCAAAGGGTGGTGTTTGGATCGGGTGGAGGTCCGCACTCATTAATCTATCGATTCTCCATCCATCATCGAATTCAGCCTTCACCCATTGAATATTTCATCCACATACTATTGTTGTAATATTTTTAAGGGAAAATTGCATTTTTCGTCCCTGAAATAGTCATCATATTGAAATGTCAGACCCGTATTTCGAAAGTTGTAATTGTCACCCCTTAATTGTCCAAATTGTTGCAAATGTGGTCCTTTGAGTGGTGAAATATACTGCTCGCCCACAGTGTATATTTCACCCTCAAAGGACCACATTTACAACAATTTGGACAATTAAGAGGTGACAATTACAACTTTCGAAATACGGGTCTGACATTTCAATATGACGACTATTTCCCTATTTCTAAATGGTTAATCTTTAATTTGCCTTCCTATATGTTATTCTAGCTCTTTCAAAAACTCAATACATTAACATAGATGATGTATTTTTGAGAAAAATAATGATTAATGTGGGTGAAGTCTTGCAAGAAACATCTACTCAGGATTCATTACCAATGACGAGTCAACATAAAGCAGTCAAGGGTGGTTTTGATTTTGAGGATGCTTTGGATGATGATTCATCACGTGATAATTCAAATCAAGAGTCCCTCACCTCCTTAAATGAAAATGTGCTTAAACAAAGCACACAACTACAAGCTAAAAAAGAGAGGACATTTACATAGAATCCTTAGAGTATCTTCAATACTAAAACGTTAACGGTGCATACGTGGCATGAGAGATAACTAATGAAAAAACAATAAATAGAATATCTCTCTCCTTATTTGAAGGATTTTATATCATTTTGGTAATTTTTTCTTCACAATGTCAAGCACAATGTCTAGATGTAGACATTGTGGTTGACATTACAGGCAAAAACTTACCAAAAACATATAAGACTATGGAAAGTCGGAGAGAGAAATGTCATAAAATCAATCTTTTGTGTTTATCTCTCTCAAGCCACATGTGCACCGTGCACATTGTAGCATTGGAGATGCTCTTAGGAGCCTTTTGGGGAATGAGTTGTTTTTTCTATAAATTTCTAATGAATTCCTTCATTAGCATTTGTACTTACTAATAAATTTAGTATATCCCGGTAAGAGATCCCCCATTCTTAACCTTCCATTTTTTGTGTGTTTTTTTGGATTAAAAAAAAATAGATGACAAAAATATGTATACTAATTGTAAATGTAATATAATGTGTGTGTTAGTTTTTTATACGAAATTTAAAATAAGAGAAAACCATACGGAGTATGTATATATATGTATATATATATAATTACAAATGTTCTCAAATACTCCGTAGGAGTTACTTGGATTTCCTCCAAAATATGACTCATGTGCTTTTGTTTATGGAAATTTATACTATTCTATTCTTTTACCAGGACTAAATAAATAAGACTTATTCAAAGAGGCAGCCGTTTGAGTGTCGACCGCCACAATGTATCCTATCATAGCAGGCAATTGTCTTAGAACACCGTCATATATCGACTTGATATTAACTTTTAATCTCTTAACCCATTGATGAAATTAATTGAGATTGATAACCTCAACACACCGGTTTTGGTTTAACCAACACAGGTAATACTTCTTAAGATTATTAACCACGACCGAACATTAATAACCCGCAGTTACTTAATTGTGAAACCATCAATGATTAATCATCGGTTCATTGATCGTTTATAGTAGCTAGTAATTAATCTCAAGATGTTAACTAATTGTCATCTTAGCAACATTCTCCAACATTAATATAGAGATAGAATAAGGGAAGAGTTAAAATACTATTCAAGGGAAGAAGTAAGAAAATAACTCACAACTTTAACATTCACAAGCTTCAAGAGCAAAAACAAGAAATGAAAGTTTAGCTCCTCATTTGGAGACGAAACAATGCTAGAAAAATATAAAGAAAATACTATTCTAAGTTGAGCTTAAGTATATGGAAGAAGGTATATCAAATGGGAAGGAAACAAAGTGTATTTATAGGTGTTTGGAGGTGGCAAGGTAAAATACCCGATCGGGTAAATAGGATACCGGATCGGGTAAAAGACGAATCTTCACAAATATTGCTCCCATGATCATTTGTTCCCGGATTTGATTTACACACTCGAATCAAGCAAATACCCAATCGGGTATATGCTATACCCGACCGGGTAAATGACTTATTTCCTAAATCATCACTTTATTTTGTTCTCTTGCACTTTCCTTGACCTTCCAAGGATCCTTTTGATTATCTTTGCCTGGTTTAAGATCAAAATAGTCCTAATCTAAACAAATTACTAATAACTAGGAAAAATTAACTATTACACCAGAAGATTGTTATTTCCCAAACAACAATAAATGAAACTAGTTAAAAATTACAAACATAAACAATAACAGTTCTATACTATGAAACCCCCCCTACTTAGTCCATTACTCATCGTCGAGCAAAAGTTAAAATAACAGCTCACAATCCATTGAACATATAAATTCAAAGGAATAAAATGTGCAGTTTGTTCATCCATCCTCAAAATACAAATAAAAGAGGATCTTCATAATCTTCAAGAACAAATGTTCTTTTCATTGATTGTATCCAAAAAACTCCCAAGTGAAATGAGTTCCTGTATAAACTCAAATAAAATTTCCTCTCATTCTCTCATTCTGCCTAGGAGCCTTTTCAGGTTTTCATCCTAGCCTCTCTTTCTATTTTCATTTTTCTCCCAACTCACTCATTTTACCAACTTTTGCTTTTATTTATTTATTCTTTTTTTTTTTGTTTTTTTTTGTTTTTTTTTTTGAAGAAAATAATGCAAGTTACAAGGTAAAAATGAATGAGTGTATACCAAATGAGTGACTCCCCCTACTTACTCCGAACATTGTCCCTAGTGCTCCCCACCATCATCCTCGCCTTGGTAGTCATGGATTTTTTTGTTCTTGAGAAATTGAGGTTTTGAGGAGTTTTGGGCTAGTTTTTCGGGTACATGGATTGGGGTAGGGATATTGGGTTTTGATGATATGGGATGATGTGGGAGATGAGGAGAAGTTTTTTTTCTTTGGGGTTAAATTTGGGATTTGAATTGGTGAGGGTTGGGGATGATTTGGAAGATGCTTGGGCGTGGTTATGGAGGTATTTGGAGAAGGGGTTCTAAAATTTGGGGAGGATGGGGTGAGGTCCAAACTGAATTTCGAATAAATTTGGGTTAAAACTCGTTTACCTGATCAGGTAAATGAAAAATCCGAACGAGTTTCCTGATTTTTTGTGGCAGTGACTTTTTTTTGTTTACTCGGTAGGGTAATCGTTGTTTTTTGATTTTTTTGGCTGCTCGCATACTAGGTGGGTTTTAGGCTTATACCCGAACGATTTTTTTTGAAGTTGGGGCTGGCAGTAGTTTTTTTACGATTTACCCGGTCGGTTATATTAGTATACCTGATTGGGCAAATGTTGATTTTCGATCTTTTAGCCATATCCGGCATGTTTCTTGTTTGGATTTCTCTTTTTAGCATGATACCCAACTGGGTGGGTATATGATATACCCGGTCGGGTATTTTCCCAAAGCCCTTCAAAAATTAATTTTTTTTAATTTTTTTTGAAATGTTAAATATGCACTCTCTCATAACACTCAAATTAAAATGAATAAAATGAGAAAATAATTATGTACCTTGCTTGGGTTGCCTCCCAAGAAGCATCTCATTTAACGTCGCGGCACGATGCCATCATTGTGTTCAGTCGTTCAAGCTTGAATGGTGATAATTCTTCTTCTTCTTCTTCACATTTTCACTTCTAGGACTTTCATAGAAATGCTCAATTTTGCTACCCTTCACTTTGAAAATCTTTCCAGTATCAAATATCTAGAATTCCATTGATTCATGTGGTGAGAGTGTGGGAAAGAAATTATCGTTTAGCATGGTCAATCGAAAGTGTTTCGATTCCTCAATTTTGCCGAAGGTTTCAAAGATGTCAATGTCCTTTTCAATTTGACGAGTTTCCCCTAAAGCTTCCAGAAATGGTGGGGGTACCTCAAAGGATGACAAGGATAAAAATTTGAATTTGAAGCTTAGCTCATCCTCTTCCTTGGATGAGGATGAGCTTTCCGTTGGAACTTTCAGTTGGAGCTTCCTGATCATCCTCTTCCACATCCTCCTCCTCCCCCTCTTCCCCCTCCTCCTCCTCCTCCTCCTCCTCCTCCTCCTCCTCCTCCTCCTCCTCCTCCTTCTTCTTCTGGATTTTGAGTCTCCTTTTGCAATTCCTTCCCATTCGTCAATGTGATTGCAAAAGTTTGCTTTTTAGGATCATGTTCTATTTGAGAGGGAAGTTTTCCCTAATTCTTTGCTTGAAGCCTGCTCACGACTCCGGCTATTTGACTCACTTGAGTTTCCAAGTTTAAAATTCTAGAGTTGGTCTCATTTTGGAATTACACCATGTTTTTTTGCATGATGGTCACGTTGGTAGAAATAGCCCGAACCATGTCCTCCCTGGACATGTTAGTTGGAGAATGGATCATACCTCATGCGAGGTACTTTCCTTTGGAAACCAACATCATCAATTTGTTCAAAGTATTCTTCTTGGAGCTTTGGGAAAAAGTCCATAAGATGCCTGTGAGACATGCAAATGTTGCAGGTCTTGACATGTTGAGCTTTTGACCATAAGAGAAACTCCTTTATTAAAGAAGTCAAGCCAGAAATTTGACTCTCTAGGGATTATGTGTTTGTATCCATGTTAATAACTTCTTCAAAGTTGTTGGAAATTGACTTACTTATGATTTTTCGAAATTCATTTCCCATGG